ACAGCTGTGAGAATTAAATAAACTGCATTTAGAACACTGCCTAGTACACAGTAAACATTATCCAAGTATTAACAATTATCTCTAATGCATGGCAATCCAAGTTCACCTCTTTGTGATATCCCTCTATTCCCCTTACATTCTTTGAAGTCCATACTGCTTCTGAAATTTCCATACCAAGAAACAATGGTCACATAAGAACCTGTATTTTATTTATTAAATTCATCTTGGTCAAAACTAACCAGTAGAACAAATTGTTTTTTACATAGTGGTAGCAGTTATTAACATTCACCAAATATGAATGTAAGCACTTAGAAGTATGGTGGTGATGGAAAGAAGGCTAGCAAAGAGTAAAGTACAGATCAGAACACAGAATATGGTAGTTTTATGTGTAAAAAATGGGGAGACTAATATGGTCATATTTATGCTTGTATATGCATAAAATGGCTCTGTAAAGTTTCATGTCTGCTTAAGGAAAGGGAGAACTACAAGTCTGGGGGCAGGGTTCTAAAGGGGACGGTTCACTATATATGCTTTAGTATCTTTCAAACTTGAAGCAGTGAATATATTACCTATATAAGAATTTAATTTTAAAAATGGAGGAGGGTGGGGTGGTGGTCCCTCTAAACAAGTACTCTGGAAGCCAGGCTTCTAGTCCCAATCTGCCACTAACTGTGTTACCTTGCACAAGTCATTTAACCTCTGAGTCTAGCTGAACTAAGCAAGGGGCAGCACAGATTCCTAGGTTCTATTCTAATTCTAAAAATGTGTCTCAAAGAGGGGGGTAGTAAACAGATGGTACTATTTTTAAGACATGAGAGGGGTACTAGTCCAACATTTTGCGAAATAAGGCAACTTTTTGAGGACTTGAATTGTCAAGCCTCTTCATCTTTCAAAATCATTTTTTTCTTACATAAAAGCTCTTCTTAGAAGGGGTCTAATGCAACGTATAGGAAATACCTATAAAGAATATTCTACACATTATTTTGTGTCTCTTGCCACACTTTTGGAGTTGTTTTAAATGGATTTTAAGTCTTTATACTATGCCATGGAGTGAGCAATAAAGTACTCTAAAACAATTTACATTTAAAATACATAAATGACTACACCTAAGACAAGTAACTTGTACTATTTAAAGGCGTTTATGATCAGACATTGCAAAAAAATAATCATACCACCTCCAGTCAATAACAGCTGTAACTAATGGAGTACATACTTTATTTCAAGTATCATCCATTTATTTATTCCATGTATCCTCCTTAATCCTACCCATTAATCTGGCAAAGTAGGTTTTAATATCCCCATTTAACCGAGAAGCAACTGTAGCTCCATGAAGATAAGTGACTAGCTCGAGGCCACAGTCTAACAAGTGGACAAGCTAGGAGTCCACCCAGAACCTTTGGATCTGAACTTAGTGCACTGGGCAGGGATTAGCAGGCAGGCTGGTGCAGACTTGCAACAAAGCTTTTAGTAATTTAAATAAAAATGAGGAAAAATGAAAAGAAAGTAAACTTTTTAATAAACCTAAGTGATTCAATTTAAAGATCTTTCATACTGAGATTCAGTTCTTTCTAATTATTTGAGTTAAAATATCCTTACTTACAATGAAATGACAGTGACAGTAGATAGTGGTATGGGTTACTGTTGCTGTTTTTATTGACTATAGCCAGCCAGCAGAACAAACTGGCACCTCTATTGCAGCCTCCCAATTTGGGGGGGGAATACTTCTTTTGAAATCCAAAAATCTGGGAACTACTTCCTTAGACAATGATGCCTCCCAAAATAATAGAGGACTTACACACACACACACACACACATATAGCCCTCAAGATTCTCTCATTAATCTCTACTTTATTTGGATTAGAACTCTTAAGGATTAAGAAATGAGAATAAAGTGAGTTTCAGCAATCCAAAATCACATGAGTTAATGCTGGATTCTGGCAGAGAACCTTCCTCAGGATTTCATTGGTTAATTTTTCTCATGCTTTATCTTTAATTCTACTCAAACCTGGGCTCAAACTTTCTGTTCCTAAAATAGTCACACTTTGGGACTTTCCTGGCGGTCCAGTGGTTAAGACTCCACGCTTCGGGCTTCCCTGGTGGCGCAGTGGTTGAAAGTCCGCCTGCCGATGCAGGGGACCTGGGTTCGTGCCCTGGTCCAGGAAGATCCCACATGCCGTGGAGCGGCTGAGCCCGTGAGCCATGGCCGCTGAGCCTGCACGTCCGGAGCCTGTGCTCCGCGACAGGAGAGGCCACAACAGTGAGAGGCCCGCTTACCGCAAAAAAAAAAAAAAAAAAAGAGACTCCACGCTTCCAATGCAGGGGGCGTGGGTTCGATCCCTGGTCAGGAAACTAAGATCTCACATGCCCCTGTGGCATGGCCAAAAATAATAAAAAAAAATAATAATATTTTTTAAGTAAATAAAATAGTCACATTTTTTACTACTACTGCTAACTGGCAATCAATACTTAAGTCAAATAAAAAGAACTACAACTTGAGGTCTCCAATAATCTGCTTTTATTTAAAGCCTTTTTCACTTTGACAAAATAAAAACTTTTAATTATGTTTAGTCTACCTACTTCCAAAAGAAAAATGATCTATAAATTAGACTCAAGCCACTTTAATTTCCAAATTTCTGTATCTCCATCATATATATATAATATATATAGTTTATATATATATAATGTATATATGTATTGATATATATGGTTTTGCAAGCAGTTTATAAACAGGTTGGTCAAACTGTCTAAATTTCTTAAATTTTATTGTGTACACAGCAAATAAGCTATTTATTCCTCTTATTAGCATGTCTTATTTCTTACCTATCTTCCTTTAGTGAGCATCAAATTTAAAATATTCTATGTACACAGCTACACAATTAAACATTAGTGTCAGTCACAACATATTAAATTCACACTTAAAACTATAAAGAGATCCAGATATTTTTAGTCTTACACATATACTTTATATATAATCTCACTTGATGTTATTTATATTATCTTATGGTGCTATATTAAACAGACATCAGAACACAAAAACCTGGACCTTGCAGGATACATAACTGAAAATATTTATAATCTATACTTATTACATGGTTCAAAAACACTCTTTTTTAAAGGAAAGCCAATATTAAGAACTTAAACATACAGTCTGGATAACATAAAGCACTCTTTCCAAGTCCAAATGTTAAAAGGTCTAGTTAAATTTATGATAGACTATAGTGTTTCCAAAAGCTAAAATTGGTAATAATTCTGCTTAAATTCCATATTAATCTAATATCAAAAGTTATTTTTATTCCTTTTTTCAAATACCTGAAATACACTGCTGCTTAGTCTTTTCATTATATATTTAGTTAGCTAACTTTGGGTGCAAGGTACTTTAAATATAAAAGTCCTTTCCAATGGATAGTGAAAATAATATAAAAATGTTTGTATAAAATACACTCAGTGATTCTCAAAGGATATCTGAGAGTCTATTAGGTCTATTAACTTGGTTCAAAATACCCAACAACAAATGTGAGGTTTTGTCACATTGACATATTTTAACTGTTAACTGGTATCTACATTTTAAACACATTATGTCTAATGTAGCAATAATGATGACTATTTTTCCACTAAAAAGCTACAGGATTTTGGTTTAAGGGCAAATGAGAAAGAGTACGTGGCTCACCAAGAAGGGTGTCAAAGTGGAAAAGATCAGCAGTCTGAAATTTGTAAATAGTAAGAAGACAAACTCCAGTGCTAGGTCGTTCATGTAATCACCAATATGTAGGTCAAAATAAACTAGTGAGCTATACATTACTGTCTACGTAGTAATTTACAGATCAATATGAGAGGAAGAAACTGCTCAAATGTGACTACTGTTAACAAACTCAAAATATTAGGCACAGTAATGTCTCTATTAAAATTATAACTTATCAATTGTGAAATAATTTCACTATTTCTACTTTTAAAAAATGAACCCTCCTCAATTAAAAAAAAAGAGCAGCCACTTTTAAGATGTAAATTCCTCTTTTCTTCAAAGTAACTTACCCAGAAAAATCTAATGCAGAAAATAAAGTGTAACAGATAAATCGACTACAACATTTTTAAAAACCTAAAAGTATCAGTAAAACAAACCAATCCCTCCAGTTTAGCAATGCGTGTATTTTTAAGCTTCGGTGGGTATACCATTATAATAACCAACAACGTTTAAAAGGCACCCTAATGCCCCAAACATCATCATTACACATGACATACTCGTATTTTACTCAAATTATGCTTAGACCAGATCCAAACTCAGGCCATTCCCCCCTCGCGGGCACACTGGATACGAGGGGGAATCCAAGAAATCAGATATGTTAAGTGCAGGTATCTCCTTCCAGAGTAGGGTCAAATTCTTGTTTGCCCGCAAATGTCACTGTCTCAAGAAGTCTGCAAATTCTCATTAGCGCTACAGAGTACAAAGAGGCCTGACCACGGAAACACCTGTCCTAGCACCGGGAAGACAGTGGGAAATGCAAACCCCGAGCCCACGCCGGCCGTACAGCCTTGGGCAGCAGCAGCGACCCCAGACGAGGGGTGGACACTGACCTCATGGCTCACTCGGGCAGGCTCCCACACCCCCGACTCGCCTCCCCGGTCGAGAATCACTAAATCTGTCAAGCCGGCCGGGACCCACCCTCCGCGAACCCCGCTTGCTCCCTCCGAGCCCGGCCCCAGCCTGCCCAACTGCCCCCGGTCCGCTCCGGCCTCGCGGCTGCACTCTGCCACCTCATCCCTCCTTGCCGGTCTCGCGGCCCCGCCACCTCAGCCTCGGCGGCCTGCACTCGGGCCGCCCCACCCCGGCCGCCGCCCCCCGGCCCCGGCCAAGGCTCCCGGCCAGGCTCACGGCGCCGTCGGTCCCTTCGCGGCCCGATCCCCGCCGCCCCCCAGGCCCGAGCTCCCGCCGCGCGCTCCCCACCCCCAGCCTCCGCCCTCGCCCCGCTCGGCCGCTCCCGGCCCGCTCCCCCTAGCCGGGCTACCTGGAGGCAAGGGCGGCAGAGCACTTCACCCAGGGCCCCAGGTCGCAGAGGGCCCGGTGCTCGGGGTCCCGCTCCTTCTCCCGCTCCACGTGGTAGGCGTAGATGGAGAGCAGGATCCCGGCGGCGCACACTGCATACCGGGCCACCCGCTCCCAACGCGGCACCGACACTCTCAGCAGGACGGGCGCCGCCATCTTCCCCCCTCCGCCGCCGCCGCCGCCTCCTTCGCCGCCGCCGCCGCCGCCTCCCTCCGCCTCCACCTCAGCCGCCGCCGCCCGTCGGGGCCCGACCCAGCCGCCGCCGCTACCGTTACCGCCTCCGCCGCCGCCGCCGCCGCCGCCGCCGCCGCGCCCCATTGGCTCGACCGCCTCCTCCGGGCCCCGCCCCCACAGGCGCGCGGCCCAACCGCCCCAAAAGGAGAGATCCTGGCGGGGCGGGGAAGGCGCGCGCGGGCGCGGAGTGGGGAACGGAGTGCGCAACCGGCGGGGAGGCCGGCCGGGGGGCGGAGCCGGAGGCAGTGCGGCGCGCGCAGCGGGCGGGGCCGAAGGAGGGGCGGGGCCATGGGAAGGGAAGGGCGGGGCTCTGGGAGGGGAGGGGAGGGGAGAGGAGGGAGGGGAGGGGAGGGGAGCGGAGCGGTGGCGCGGGCGGGCCCTAGGGTACTCGGTGAAAGGAATAAATTTCAAAGATACCACCGTGTGTGACTGAATAAGCCCTTGGCCCCACCTCCTGCGGGTGGTAATCAATTGCCATACTTTCTGCCTTTTTTTTGTCATTATCACTTGATATTTTCTGACCCAATCCAAATTAGCCTTGGCCATTTCCCAGAGCTCCAGAGCCAAGCTCCAGAGCCACGTTTACATTACCTGATCTTCCCCAGCACCACCTCCACTCACTTCGTGTTCAACAAGTGCAAACTTAACTATTTTTAAAACATTATTTCTGAATGCCTTGCTTCCCTGTAAGCTGAATTTGAGATGGCTTAACATAATTCGTGTAATATAGTAAAGTATAAAAATGAACTAAAAAATCAGGACTAAGAAAAAGACAAATCAAAATAAAAGACCAGGGGCTTCCCAGGTGGCGCAGTGGTTGGAAATCCGCCTGCTAATGCAGGGGACATGGATTCGAGTCCTAGTCCGCGAAGATCCCACATGTTGCGGAGCAACTAAGCCCGTGCGCCACAACTACTGACCCTGCGCTCTAGAACCCGCGAGCCACAACTACTGAGCCCACGTGCCACAACTACTGAAGCCCGCATGCCTGGAGCCCATGCTCCGCAACGAGAAGCCACCCCAATCAGAAGCCCGCACACCGCAACAGAGTAGCCCGCTGCAACTAGAGAAAGCCCGCGCACAGCAATGAAGACCCAACACAGCAAAAAATAAAAAAAATTATAATTAATAAATAAATAAAAGACCAGGAGTAAGAACACAGACAAGGGACTTGCTGGTGGCACAGTGGTTAAGAATCCGCCTGCCACTGCAGGGGACACGGGTTCGATCCCTAGTCTGGGAAGATCCCACATGCAGCGGAGCAACTAAGCCCATGCACCGCAACTATTGAGCCTGTGCTCTAGAGCAGGCGAGCCACAACTATTGAAGCCTGCGTGCCTAGAGCCAGTGCTCCACAACAAGGGAAGCCACAGCAGTGAGAAGCCTGCACACCACAACGAAGAGTAGCCCCCACTCACTGCAACTAGAGAAAGCCCACGTGCAGCAACAAAGACCCAACGCAGCCAAAAATGAATGAATGAATGAATAAATAAATAAATAAATAAAATGCCTTAATGGCTCAGACCAATTAAAAAAAAAAAAAAAGAATCTGTCTTGCAAAAAAAGAATCCTTCTTGCAATGCAGGGGACTTTGGTTCATCCCAGTGGGGGAACTAAGATTCCCACATGCAGTGGGGCAACTAAGCCCACACAGCACAACCACTGAGCCCGCGCTCCTCAACTACAGAGCCCAAGCGCTCTGGAGCCCACACACCACAACCAGAGAAGCCCGCATGCCACAACTAGAGAGAAGCCTGTGCACGCACTGCAATGAAGCGAAGAGCCCACCCTCCACAGCAAAAGATCCCGCATGCTGCAACTAAGACCCGACAGCAGTGAAAAATAAATTAATTAATTAATTTAAAAAAAAAGAACACAGACAAGCAGGCCATAGAGCATCACATAATTATTAAAACCGAGCCATAAATTTGGCTCTGAGCTTCCTGGTGGCCAAAACTAAAAGAAAAATACATGTATGTTATTCTCACTGTCTCTAAGAAGAAACACACTGTTCTTGGAGATTGCTAGATTTTTCCTGGTTGCCACTGGCCAAGAGATTTCAGTTTTATATAGTGATTTTGAGTAATTGATGTCCTATTATTTATGTATTGTTGGGTAACAAATTACCCGAAACTTGCAGCTTAAAACAACAACAACAAAAATCTCTTATTTTCTCATAGTTTCTGTGGGTCAGGAATCTGGGTGTTATTTAGCTGGGTCCCCTGGATCAGGGTCTCTCACAGGATGCAGTCAAGATGTTGGCTGGGGCTGCAGGCATCTCAAGGCTGGAGAATCCTCTTGCAAGCTCACTCACAGGGCAGTTGGCAGGCCTCACGTCCTCTCCGGCTGTTGGCTGGATCCATCAGTTCCTGGCCACTTGTACCTCTCCATAAGAAGCTGCTACGTTCCCTTAAAGCAAAGGATAAGAGAGGGTGAGGGAAATGGAAGTCACAGTCTTTTTTGTAACCTAATCTCAGAAGAAACAGCCCATCACTTTTACATATTCTGTTACTTAGAAGCTAGTCCACAACCTAAGTGTCCATGGATGGATGAATGGATAAAGGAAATGTGGTATGTACCCACAATGGAATATTATTCAGCCACAAAAAAGAAGGAAATCCTACCATTTGAGACAACAAGGACAAACCTTGAGGGCATTATGATAAATGAAATAAATCAGACAGAGAAAGACAAATACTGTTGACCCTTGAACAAGGCAGGGGTTAGGGGCACCAGCCCCCTGTGGAGTCGAAAATCCAAATATAACTTTACAGTCAGCCCTCCATATCCGAGGTTTCACAGCCACAGATTCAACCAAGGATCATGTATTACTGTCCTATGTGTGTATTGAAAAAAATCCACATATAAGTGGACCTGTGCAGTTCAAGCCTGTGTTGTTCAAGGGTCAAGTGTACTATACAATCTCACATGTGGAATCTAAAAAAGCTGAAATCATAGAAACAGAATTGTTTGGTGGTTGGCAGGGGCTGGCAGGTGGGGAAAACGGAGAGATGTTGGTCAAAGGGCACAAACTTCCAATTATTAGATAAATAAATTCTGGAGATCTAATGTACACTATGGTATCTATAGTTAATAATATTGTATATGTGAAAGTTGCTAAGAGAGTTGCTAAATCTTACATGTTCTCATTCCCTCCCTCCAGGCCAAAAATAAAAAACGGTAATTATGTGAGGTGATGGGTATGTTAACTGATCTTATTGTGGTAATCATTTCACTATATATGTATATCAAATCATGTTGTACATCTTAAACTTTCACAATGTTATATGTCAATTATATCTCAATAAAACTGGAGGAGAAAAAGAAGCTAGTCCCTAGGTCCAGTCTACACTGAAAGGGAGGGGATTACACAAAGGCATGAATACCAGAAGGGGAATCATCTTTTTTTTTTTAAGAATTTTTTTTTTTTTTTATGGTTGCGTTGGGTCTTCATTCCTAGATGTGGCAGCGGGGGCTACTCTTCGTTGCAGGGCTCGGGCTTATTGCAGTGGCTTCTCTTGCTGTGGAGCACAGGTTCTAGGCACATGGGCTTCAATAGTTGCAGCATGCGGGCTCAGTAATTGCGGCACGCGGGCCCTAGAAGGCATGGGCTTCAGTAGTTGTGGCTCGTGGGCTCTAGAGCACAGGCTCAGTAGTTGTGGCGCACGGGCTTAGTTGCTCCGCAGCATGTGGGATCTTCCTGGACCAGGGATCATGTGTCCCCTGCATTGGCAGGTGGATTCTTAACCACTGCACCACCAGGGAAGCCCTCATTGGGATCATCTTAAAGCCTGTCTACCACTGTCCTCAAAAAGATCGACTCTCTAACGCTCTGGTGGTTTCCATACTTCTGAGTGGACTCATTCTCCTGTAGCCCCCTCCTTCTGGATTCCTTTACTGACTTGATAAGATCTATTGATTATCTGACTTCTGTTACTCATCATTATGTCTGTGAGGGTTTATCTATGTTATTGTACACAGCTGTGTAATAGTCCACTATATAACTAACCACAATTTTATTTATCCAGTCTGTCCACTGTTTATGGACATTTGGCCAGTTGTTAGCTATTTTGAATAAAGCTGCTGTGAACATTCTGTAAACGTCTTTTGGTGGCTGTATGCAGTCATGTCTACTGGGAATACATCCAGGGGCAGAACTAGAGTCAGACAGTATTAGTTATACTGCCTCAGTCAATTTAGGTCCTCCAAGGAGAAGATGCCAAAGTGAAATCAGATGTGTAAGAGATTGACAGGGGGCAATTCCTGTGACGGATAAAGGAGACAGGGAACAAGAACAGGCATGGAGAGCCTCCAGATCACAAAGCAGGTCTGACCACTATGAAAGCTCTGCAGTCTCAGCCAGGCTGACAGGGAGCAAGGCAGGAGTAACCCCCTATCTAGTAGCCCTGCCAGGCACAGTCATGGGCTGGGAGCAGCCTGGGGAGAGCATGGCCTCAGCATGAATGTTGTGATCCATCCAAAGGTGTAGCCAGCCACTGGAGGCTACTGGCCGCTAGCCTCTTTGCAGCAGACTCTCTTGAAGGGAGACTGACTGGTGCACCACCAGGGCCACCACACTAACTACCAAACAGTCTTCCAAAGGAGTTGTACCAATTTAAGCTCCCATTAGCAAAGTATGAGAGTTCTGGGTACCCCACATCCTCACCAATCCTTGGCAAGGTCAGTGCTTTCCGTTTTAGAAAATTTGGTAGCTCTCTAGAGGGATCGTGGTGGTTTTAAAATTGCTTTTCCCTGAAGACCAACGAATCTGAGCTCCTTTCATATGCTTTTTGACTACTTAGATGTTCTCTTTTGTGAAGTGCCTACTTAAGCCTTTTTCGCACTTTAAAAAATGGGTCGTCTTTTTCTTATTGGTTTGTAGAAAGAAAGTCTTTATATATTCTGGATACAAATCTTTGTCAGTATATGTATTGCAGATATCTTCTATGCTTTTTTTAAAAAAATATTTATTTAGGCTGCGCCGGGTCCTAGCTGTGGCAGGCAGGATCTTCACTGCGGCATGCAGACTTAGTTGAAGCATGTGGACTCTTTAGT